GTTGTTGGGTTTACTTGGGAGAAAACTCGACCAAGTGTCCTTGCATCAACCAGGGCAAAACTCTCCAGTGTTTCCTCAGCCAAGGACAACAGTCCAGGTGTGTTGACAGGTAAAACTTGTTGGGATAAAAGGCTGGATCTGATGTCCTTGATTTTGGTTCTGAAGTGGAGAACTGCAAAGTTCTCACAAAGAGCGTCCGTTGGTGTCTTAAAAGCTTTATTAAAATTAGTGCCTGTCAAAATATCAATGGCGAAGAAGAGGAAACGATCAACGATAAAATCACAGGGTGCAGGTAAAATTTCAGCAGGAGTGCTCTGTAAAATCTCAATAAAATTTGCAGCCACTTCAGAAGTTAGGTCGCGTTTACCTGACCGTTCTCACTGGGGTCTCCTGCTGGTTAAAACTGGTGATGTTAAAAAACACACAGTCGTGGTCAGACACAGCCAGGCCCACAACACACGACACACCAATGGACAGGCCATGGGTTATAACCAGGTCCAGGGTGTGTCCACTGTTGTGAGTCGGCTGTGTGACATGCTGTTTAAAATCCATACAGTTTAAAAGGTATAAAAAATCTCTGGACACTGGATCCGAGCTGTTGTCTATGTACAGATTAAAATCACCAATTATTAAAATTATCATATATTCAGAGTGAATGATGGATAAAAGTTAAGAGAATTCACTGAATAAACCTTTATTGATCCCGCAGCGGGGAAATTTTAAGTGTTACAGCAGCAGAATAGTCATTATAGCTTTGCCACAGCATAGACAACTGCACCGGACTTCAAAGTATTACTACGGCCTTCACACTACATGTGATGAGAATAGAGGTCAAACTGCTGTTTGTGATAAGCTGATATCACCTGATGTGTTCACCGAGCTGATTGGTCAGGATATACTGTATTGGAACGCACACATCAGTCCTGCTGCTGTCTGACTGCTAGAAAAGATTTTATCAACAACTGTTGCCGTACAGATTTCAGGGATGCATCATATATTGGTGGCGAGTGGCCAAGTACGTAAAACAATCACAGCTGCTGTTGTTGCTCTGATAAAAGGTTTACAAGAAATCAATGCATTCTTTACAGTATTGTTCCCAAAGGCTCTCTATATATCGGTGTTTTCTTTTTCACATTTTTGCATTTTCTAAATTAATATAACCAGTTATCGTATCAGTAATAGCCATAAACAGGTAATTGCTGGGTTTGAAGCATCTCTAATAGATTTGAACTGGCTGACCTCACATTCTTACACAAGTTAAAACATGTACACTTACAACATAAAGCTCCACATGAGGATTCATCAAAATATAGACAGACAGCCTTATTAAAATCATTGTTAGCTGCAGCCCTCTTTTACAACAAAATGTTCTCAAAATGAATGAACTTGTCAGAGAAACCTTCTGCTTTTGTAAAGTCTTTAGACAAGTGTTACTGGTCGTTGACTGGGTTGTGATCATTTCAAGGTGAAGACAGAGCAAAACTGTAAGTTCAAACATGACTGAGCACCATGTAAAATGCAAGTCAGAGTGAACTGGCTCTGTCTGCTATTATCAGACTACAAATGCTAATCTGACTCTCAGTCAGAGTCGCTGGTTGCTGATAAGGAGTTTGAAGATCTCACACTGGTCACTTCTGACACGTTCAAATTCCACAATCACTGTCACATTGTTCATTGGTAGAAATATGTGTTGTTTCATTGCTAAATATGCAAAATGCCCTGTCAAACCCGGTCACGTACGATATGACTGGTTAGCTAATACTCTCTAACACACACACAGACACACACGTGCTGTTGAAGTGGACAACTGGACAGCAGCAGCTACACCGAGTTTAGCTAAAAGCTAACTGTTAACAGACGCGTGTGTATTTACCGGCTTGTGAAGAGAACTGATTGAAGGCGTTAGTTGGAGCCATCTTGTGAACAGCCAGCCTTGAAAACAGCCCCAGGGTCCTCTTCAGCTGGACTGACTTAATTGTGCTGCTCAAACTTTTACTTGCAGCGACTCTTGCTTTTCCGGAGCTTCTTCTGCAGCAGCAGCATCTACATTTCCGATCGGAGCCCTTCACAATAAAAGCCTCAGCGTCACCCCAGCTCCTCTGTATCACAACTCCTTCCTTTAAAGCTCAGTTGAAAATATATCAGCATAACTGAGAACTATTTATTTCGATGCGCAGGCCTAATAATTAGACATCCAAGTCAAAATTATCAAGCCTCAAGTCAAACATTTAACCTATGTCAAACTCATACACTTTAACATTACACAGGAAATCACTTTTGAAGTCAAAATCCTTTGAACAGATGGAAAAAAAGAACCTATTCCATAGTAGTGTCATTTTGCAAGTATTAGTTTAAATGACTATCTCACCCTATTTGTCCTGGTTTTATTTAGAATTTTTATGATCATCTCTCTCCATCTTCCAGGAAGGAATGAGCTCTTTTGAAGGTGTGAAGTCAGAATGTAGTTTACTCTAGTTTGCTGTAAGACTTGGTGAGATTCTGCCTTCATAACACCACAGATCACACTCTTAAGTGAATTTTGTCTCTTTACCTAGAGAACAGTAGCAGTGCTGCGACATGTTGTTTTTACTGGTGTAACGTGCATGTACTTAGGATGATCCCATAAGTGACACAGCGTAACAAATATCTGACATAGTGAGAGAAATAGCATCATAATTGCATATTCTGCTTCTTAATTTCAATGACATGACAATTTCAGTACACCAATACATGACAGACAACCAAAAACTAGTGTAAGATAATTGACTACCAGGCTCTTGAGTAGTTTTCCTCACTAACGACTAAATAACCAGATTGCTATATGACAAATCCTCTACACATGCATACGGTATATGAACATTTTAGATGCTAGAGGGGAGGTTTAAACTTTAAAGAGCTAAATGTGATAATCTGTGACAGTAGCACCCGACGGCTCCAAACACAATCACCAACACTGCGATACGAATCTGTAGCAGGAGTGAAGTCACGTGTTTAGGTCGATATTGTGTTTTATTGATACAAGTTCCAAAATCTTTTCAGAATAATACAACACAGTAAAAAACTGTTATAGAACACAAACCAAAGAGCATAGCAAGAGTCTCAGTCAGAAAATGAGTCCGTGTCCAGTGAATCAGTCGTCCTGTGCTCCCTTCAGACTGGACCTCTGCTTCTTCTTGTCCATCTGGCCCATGACACGGTACAGTTTTTTCTGTGCCTCCTTCTGTCTCTTCAGCTTGGCCTCATCCTCTTTCTTCTTCTGCTCGAGGAA